GAAAGGAATCCAACGGACTCGGGCAGGAATCATGTTTGTGGATGAGCTAATGTATTAAAGTTTTATTATCGTTACTGTGGTATGAAGCAGGGCTGGAGCGAATGCTAATGAGAGAGACCTGCGATACAAACCGGTATTGAGTCCAGCGGTGCTTTTATTATCCATCACACATTATATTTTAAAATTAACATGTCATTTAGCAACACAAGTCATCCAGTTTTTATTAATATGATATTCTAATATCGATCTAGATTACTGCAAAGTGCACCAAGTGTCTCATAGCAGCCATCGAGCGAAGGCATTATAATATAACTTTCAACACTCTCAAATGTATTTAGTAGGATTGTTTTCAGCATAAGCATGAGAAAGCTCTCTATGATTATGCCTTGTTAGCCACTTGACAAAATAGTGTTGTCTCTGAGGCATGGTACAAACATTGTAGGCTATTCTAGGTAAATAAAGAAAAAAAGTGATTCAAACAATAAGACTAACCGTGTTGAGCTATACATTGTTGGAAACGTTTGGAATACTGTAAGTACACAAGTCAACAAAATATAACATTGTTCTAGTGGTTTTTGGATATTTTAATCTAAAAATCTTAGATATTGCGCCTTTAAGCAGATCAACTTAAATTCAAATTAAGCAAATCAGCATATTAGAGTGATGTGAATATTTTAAAGTATTCAATTACAAAAACATTTTTAAATTGTAATACTATTTTACAATATTGTTATATAATATAATGCTGTTTGTTATATATTGTTTTACTAAATGCAGCCTTGGTGAGCATAAGAGACTTCTTTAAAAAGCCTTTAAAAATCTTACCGACCCCAAACTTTAGAACTTAGTGTATATAAATTATTTTAAACTGTAGTGTACATCCAGAAAATTAGAGCACTTTGATAACAACAAATGCTACAGTGTAAAAAATGTAAGCAGTAGCTAAATATATGACACAACACAGCTGCATCTCATGTGATGCAATGGTGAGGTATAAAGTATAAACGCAACTATGAACACAACCCCCCACCCAAAAACACTTACTAACCTGAATATCTGTGTCCTTGACTGGCTCAAGAGGCTCAAATGTAGTGGCTGCACTGAGACTTTCAAGACGCTGGGAGATATGGAAGATGTCAAGACCACGAGAGCCCAGGAGGATGGAGCTGAAGTAAAAAAAAAAACATTATGACACCATTTTAAAGAGCATGCTTTTTTTTTTGTTATTACTTCAAATGCATTTAAAAGTCATGCCAATTCATATAAACACATCAAACTGAAAACTCACGCTTTTACATCAGCTGTGTCTTGAGAGGTTCTGGTGAGAGTGCGGGACCGTAGTCGCTCTCCTGCCTGCTGGATCTCCTGTAGGTTTCGCTCGACATGGGGCAACTCGGACACGGCCTCAGTCTCTGCTGCAAGCTGTTCTGCCTGCTGCAGGAGTTCCCCGAAGCCCTCAGTATCCATTTCCAGCACCCGTTCCACTTGACAGCAAAACAAGAGCAGTATGCCTGTTACACATGGCGATATGCACATCATTTGTATTCAGTATATCAGTTACCACAGTAACACCCAGCAGATTATCAGATCTGAAAGCTTTTTACATTGCTAACCCTACAGTTTGAAAGAGACTCCATGTCAATTTATCATGATTTTACAATAGTAACTGTGGGATTTAGGTTGAAAATATATATAATTTTCATGATTACTTAGGTAAGTCAGTGACATGATATACATACATTCGCATTTATTCTTTTAGCATAACTGGGACGAATATTCATCATATGTAAATATATATAGATAGATAATAAGTAACACAATATTAGTACTACATTGAATGAGTGTCATGGTTGTTTAGCTTGTGTAATAACTGTAGTCAATAGAAAAGACTGTCACTTGCTAGGAAGCTAACTTGACATGAGGTGCTGTCGGTAAACGTGTCCCAAACAGACACCTGTCAAATGCGACTACAATTAACTAAATAGTTAATTAGTTAACGCATATGTAACAACCCACCTCGCAGAATGTGTATTCTTATAGCGGCTATAATAGAATGACTTCACTTTAGCTGCTATGCTAAACACATCCCCCTCGTGAACTCCCGGGTTCCTGTGAGAACGAGCGCTGATTGGTTCAAACCGTTTTTTCCCACAAACACCCGCGACTAGAGCCTCGATAGAACTTTATTCAGATGATTCTGTTTACAAATTACAATACGTAATATCGGCGAGATCAAGTCATGCACATTTTCTGTAAGATTACTTGGAAATCCATTTGACTCAAACATGACGGTGAAGATACAGCGGTGTCCGATATACTTGATATATCATGTTTGGTAAGCCTATATGATGTCTAAAAATCATGGTAGTAACATTGTACAATAATAGTATCATATTTTAATAATAATATAAACTTTATATAATATATAAAATAAATTATATTTGTACAACATAATTAATAATACTAAATTACAGTAATATTAAATTCATATTAAGTCCTTAATTACACCATGAGGGTAAAACATGCAACTTGTTCATGTTGGCATCTGCCTCATTTAACTACCTACACCTACCAAGTGACAAATGAATGTGTGCCAAAATACAGAGTATGCTCGGATAAACAGCCTTTGGCATATAAAATAAAAAGGTAATTTCCCACCTTGGAAAACTTTTTGTTTTGCTTTAACCCAACAATTGAAAACCAATTATTTTTTCCTCTTCACTATGGTGACTATTTTCCCAGATATGCTCTTTGAACAACCCTAACAGAGCAATGATTCATTCAAACAATGTCAGCTTTAAGTTAGGCCTCCTGCAGTTATCAGCTTCCAAGAGAGATGTGCTCACACATGCCATATTTAACACCAGAAATTTTGGTTTCACTTTTTGATGGTCCCTTTGACACATTCTGTTGACTAAGTAACATTGCACCTACACTACAGGTCTACTAAATTGGTGTTAGTAGTCTTACTAAGAGTGTTAAGTAAACTGGTTGGTTCAAATAAATTGACATGCACTTGTAAAAGTTACTTCAGTGTCTGTTGGAGGACCATCACAATAAAGAGTTAAGAGATATTACTCTGAGAATAAGTTGACTGGTAGTTGCAAAGTTACCTATACAGAATGTGTAAAAGGGACCATCAAAATAAAGTGTTAGCAAAATTAACAGTGGGTGGGTCTTAATGATTGCACTGCCATCCAGGGGCGGATCTACCGGGGTGGCATAGGGTGGCAAATGCCACCCTAAAAGAAAGCCTTGCCACCCCTGCTGCCACCCCAGTTGGCAGCAACGAATTAAAAGTTATGGCCAATTTGACAATTTACGAACGCGAATCTCCAATGTCCGACTGCAGTGAATTCGCTCCGTGCATAATATGACGACCGTTGACGTTCGTACTTTATTGTGTGGGCAAATACTTCCGGCGAAAACTTCTGGTGATCTGACCGCGAGAGCGGGAGACAGCGAGAGCAAGAGACAACAGCGACCGAGTTCCATTACCAGAGAGATAAGTTTTCAACCCGACCAAATTTTTAAATGCATATCATTTTCAGTGTATTTCACCTGTGCGTTTCTATGCTTTATATTACTGCATTTATTTTGTGCAAGTGAGATGAGTAAAGAACATCTGTTTCATATATCATTATCTGTCTGGTATTTATAAGCAGTAGCCTACAGTATTTTACTACGTGTAAAATATACACAAACTTAGCTATATTAAGTTGTTTGTGTACAGTTACAAATATAAATGTAAAATATGTGATAATAATATTGATCGAGCAATTGATGTAAGTAAGTAAAAAAACATGCGCAGAATTAAGAAAATATTATTTACTATTTATGGAGATAAATTTTAGCCTATCATAAAGCAAATGTGTGAATGTTCACAGGGTATTTTATTTAACAACTCTAATCGTAGTTGTAACTCTATATTTACAGTAGGCATAATTGTCATTGCGTATGTATGCAGCACGAGTCCAATACAATCTTCTGTTCGTGAACAGTTGTATTTCATTCATTAATCTGACTAACGTTATGCATCCGTGCATTTAATTGCCATTGGCTCGTGTGATAGTAATATGGATCTTAGTAGTATTTAAATGATATAATTGATTCTTGTTGGGTGCTCAACAACATAATATATAAAAAAGGGAAAAAAGGTCGGCACACCTTGGCTCCAAAAGTTAAACGCACCCCTGCCTTTATACTCACACAGGGCTGGACTGGCCATAATATTATAATATAACTATTATTATATAGTAGTGTAATGTAGACAGACACTATATCACAACTAAAAAGAGTTTTGAGTTTTTCTTTGTTCAATTTGCACACTGAATATGGGTTGGAGCTCTTTATTTTGAACTCTCAAAGTGCACCAGATTGATGAATTTAACATTAAAAAGCACAACATTTTCTTACGGGGGAGCATGCCCCCGAACCGGTATTGCTATCCCAATGCAGCTTATAGCTTGTTTTAGGATTCATCACTGTGGAGTATAGTTCAACTTAGTAGTTATTTCATCTGTTAACTCTTACTCAGTGGTTTTTATAGGAGTTGGTATACATATTCAAGGGAGTGCAAAGTTCGGTTGTGTTTATGATTATATGTAATGGGCCAGTCTGGGCCAAAATGCCCGGGCCGATTTTTTGTCCCAGTCCAGCCCCCCCCCCACCCACAAAACAGATACAAATAATGCCCATTTGTAGTGTGTATACATACGATTTCTCATCAAACTGTGTTAACTGTGATTAAATTCAGTAAATATACGTCTGCCATGTTGCCACCCCTCAAAAATTCCTGCCCCCCTCTTGCCACCCCACAAATATTTTTCTAGATCCGCCCCTGCTGCCATCTTATGTATCCTAAAACTTGCATTACCAATATAGCACTTGAATAGCAGGTCAAGAGCCAACCTCATTATATGATAAGTTAAGGTGCATAATGTAGGCTATATTAGAGTTCACGAAAACAAAAGAGGTATGAAATAAAGCCACACACACCATTAACTGCTGACATTGATATATTGTAGACAAGGTACATGGCAGAAAGACTTACAAATGTCTATTTATAAAGAACTAACATCTTGTGATGGTCTTATTTGTAGCAGTACAAATCAGTGCATTGGTTTCCCTCTATAGCCTTTGTTAAATGATTCCACAACATTAAACAGTCAGATTTGGAGAACAACTGGGAGGTCATTTATTTCATAGAAAGACAACATTATGCGATGCAAAACAATGACAAATACAGATGAACAAATTCACATTGTTGTAGCAAAACATCACGTTGACCTCCTCATTGACAGCAGCTGGAGCCGCAAGAATTGCCCTTACAGACACATCCAGAGGCACATTTGCTGCAACCAGATGGGCAGCAGGGACAGCAACCTGTGACAACAGAAGAGAAATAAGTTTAGCCACCTCAGAGAGAAACACAAAAAAAACCTTTCGAAAAACAGTTTCGAAGTTCACTTACTCTTCTTGCAGGTTGTACACTGGCAGTTAGTGCACTTGCAGGTGGCACCACAGTTGCAAGTTCCAGCTACAAAAACATTGATACTTCCATTAAACCAATCCAATAGAACTAAAACTACAATCAGACTGCTACCAGCATAATTTTCATGTGGTTTGAGGCTTTATTAAAGTCCACCTATCCCTATATCCTTAAAACAATACAAATATTTTAAAGTTAAACAAGTCCTGGTAAAACAACCTGACAGGTAAAATGAGACGCCAGGACACCTGCAAGTATATAGTAACTTGATTCCAAAACTAAATTCAACATAATTGTAAAATAAATGGCTAAAACACTTACTCTTGGCGCAATCACAAGGATCCATTTTTCCTCAAGAGTATCTTTAAAGAGCCCGAAAGTCCTTTGGAAGTATCGCTTCACTCGGTTAGTGAATGAGTTGATGTAGAAGGTGCCAGAGAACTGATCGCGCGCTGCTTTTATACAGCCCTGACCGAACACACCGAGTGCAAAAGCCCGCCCGCTTCAGCCTGCACAAGTGCGCACGGTCATTCATCATTAATCACACTGGGTGCAAACTATCAAACAATCAGGACTCAGGAGTCATCATTTCCACCCTGTCACATCAATGTGTTGTTTTTACGATTATATAACTACCAATCCACTCCACTGGCTGAATGTTGATTGGTGTTTGTTTACGTGATTTTATAATTCGATGCTTTTGTTTGTTATTTTCGTTTTGGGAGATGGAAAGACCTTCATGTTTGATAACACAAAGTAGTTTGTTAGAATCAAAGGTCTATAAAAGACCATACTTTGTCATACTTGCCCAGTGCTTCTTTAATGGTTTTAGATTTCTGTGAGAAAGGCAAAGTAATACTCCTTTAAATATTAAAGTAAACACGTAAGAGTCTAAATAAGTTTTAGGCTATGCCTAACTTAAGCAGATATTGGCCCATAGATTACATTAAAGACACAGAAGACGATCGCCTAGAGGCAATTTTTGATTTTATGAAAGCTTTATTCTCTCCCATAATTGTTTGTCAACAGTTTGTCCTCTCTCTCTGCACACGGCACTATTGAAACAAACTGCGTGCGTGTGCGTGACCGCCTCAGCACGTGCTCCCTCTGTCTGCACTCGGCGGAGATGCGGCCGAAACCTCAGTAAACAGAAGAATTGATTTGCACTCGTTTACTCTCTTGCTGCTGGCCGGAGTATTTTTCCATTACCAATTATTCATTACAACTGAATTGATGTAACGAGTGCAGAGTGTCTTTGAATTTTGGGGGTGAAGAGTCATTGAAGAAATCATTTAAAGTGAAGAAATCATTAAAATGCCAAAAAAGAAAAACGCACATTAACGCACGTCACTCAACAAGTGCACGTCTTCTGTGAATAATCTGTCATGTTAGTGGCATATGCTATATTTGAAGTGACTCCACTGCCCTGACTTCCCAGCCAACATTTTTATGTGGGGCCCTTACGGGCAGTGCCCCCCATCAAGGCCGTAACCAGGGTTTGAAAATTAGTGAGGTCCGGGGTGTTGTGTAAAGAATTTTGCTATAATAATGGTTTGGCCATTGGAACCACATTTCCCAATGGACATTAAGCTGTGACCCTTTTTTTTTATGGAATTTGGCATATATATATATATATATATATATATATACAGGGGTTAAATTTGGATTTAATTATGTGTGGGGTAGTCTCTCACTAGGGGGGTCCGAGGGTTTGCCCCCCCGGGATTTTTTGTGTGAAAAATAAACCAAAATGGCACTTTCTGGAGAGTTTTGTGCAAAGAAAAAGTAGGTCTAGCAAGTTCAACGCAATCTCACGACCAATTCGTCCGAATTTGACGAGTGATTAAAAGATGGCTAATTCGTACGAATTCGTACGACCTCATTCGTACGAATTTGTACGATTTGTCTAAACCCACGTGATGGGTAGGTTTAGGGGCGGGGTCAGGGTCATTCGTACGAATTCATACGAATTGGGCAACTCGTCAAATATGTACGTTTTAGCAAAAATCGTACTAATTCGTACGAGTGAGGTCGTACGAACTGTTACGAATTAGCCATCTTTTAATCACTCGTCAAATTCGGACGAAATTCACACAGATCAAACACAAATATGCTGACTGAATAGATTGCTAGTTGAGAAACACTGCTTTAATTAATGTTTTTATGATGGCTTTGTGAAAGGTTAACTAAACAGCATGAGCCGTCTTCCAGCTGGCCAGTAAGTTATTTGGCAAATTTCATTCTGTAGGCTAACATACAGATCTGTTTTATGCTATTGTTTTTGATAGTGTTATACATTTCTTACAGATAATCGATTGTCATTGCGTTTGTCTTACCGAATGTGGTAGCTTTATGCAATTACAGTTTGTCTATAAGCTTCTTTTTTTTTAAATGTATTAATGCCGACAGTTAAATGTTGCCAGATATTGCTACGAAAAACAAGCAAAACAAAATAATAATAATAATCCGAAATAAGTTCAAAGCTTGTGTTTTGGAAATAAGGTTAATATATCACTAAACCTTCCCACATTAATAACTTCCTAAAGTGTCACATTAAATCAGAAAAACAGGTGACTACTGCCACCTTTCTATTAGGTGGATCTGGCAACACGGAGGCTGCACCCGCGTTCACAACGCGCTCTCAAGCCCCGTTCAGTTCACTGCGCCAGCTTCTCGCAGCAACATGAATTGCAAACACTCATATGAGGTGGTTTAAACACTGCTAATTAATCATTCAGAGAGCTTGACATTTTATTTTTGAATGTAAAAAAAATGACCGAGGTCCGGACCTCGGTGACCTCATAGCTGGCTACGGCCATGCCCCCCATAACCCATACAGAAATCGCCTAGATTAAAATGTTAATAATACATAGATTTGTTTTTCAATAATATTGTTTATATTGTTGTTTTTAAACAACCCCAATTATTTCTGCTCAATTTTATTTGTACCAAATGCAGTTACTCAGATCTACTTATTTTTTTTACTTACATTTACTCAATTCATACAGTGTATGTAATAGATTTCACTGCTTTAAAATGTAATCAATATTTTTTAAGTGTAAAAATGTTTTACCAAAAAAATTGAGTAAGTCATAGTAAAGTTTTTTAGAGTGTGCGAACAAATTCATTGTTGGACCCGTGGTGTGCCGAGTTTTTTCCAACATTATAATTACAAACATTATTCAAGTAGTAGTTATGCTTGATGCCAAACTGCCAACTTTTATTATGGCCTTTCTGTTAACAGGACCCCTGCGCGTGCTCACTGCACATCCTGCTGGAAACAATCCTCTTCAAGTTATGGGCATCAGTTTGTCCTGTCAGTAATAGCAGAATACAACACCTGGCAGCGAACAAGCTAGCGGCTGCGGTAAGACACTTCCATTTAATGTAACTCATAGGTTTATTGCTGTAAAGGGAATATAATTATGCACAGATGATCATCTCCAAGCACAGTATGAAGGGTTTCTGCTAATTAGCTACGTAGAGTTAGCAGCACCCCTAGCCAGGGCACTGAGTTGCCTAGATCTGGCTAATATATCGATAGCATGTTTTGAATGAAAATGGCGTCGCATAATTCATATAATAAAATAGAAGCACAAAGTAAAACCTTTTTTTTAAAACATAGTGTGCAGACGTGTACACTAAAAGGATTAGCAGAATAGCATGCTAGCAAAAGTGGCTTGGTAATGCCGTGACAAGCTGCCCACTGTTGCTAGGCAACGGAAGCCCCATCGGGCGAGAAGCACAGTAAGCTGTTTATTCTATTACCCAGAGAGAAGGGGTAGTTAGATGGGCTAAAGCCTGAATAGTCTCTTGTTGGATAATTTCCCCTTTACCCAAAATAGCCTTTTCATTTCATTTATACTAGTTCTAATTATGTAAATGTTTTGTTTATTTGACAGTGACAATACCGACATAACAATTTTGAGCTGTAGATTTTAAACATTTACAAATATCAAAACCGGAAAATGTATACAAAACTGAGTAAACTATGTTATATATATATATGTGTGTATTGTGTATATATATATATATATTTCACAATAATGCTTCATTGACTTGCGATCATGTAGGAGATTCTTGTGAATGTTTACAGAGTCATTGTTTTAACATCTGTTTGTGGTATTTTCACAGGAAGTTTGCATTGGTAACATCTGATTTTGCTGTTGAGCTCTTCTACCATGTTAGTGCCCATCTTCACCCTTAAACTGAACCATAAGATTAACCCTCGAATGGTTGCTATTGGAAAGTACGATGGGATACATCCATGCCTCACTGCAGCCACACAAGCAGGCAAGGTAAGTGAAAGGTATTATATTAAAAAGTAGAGATGCACCGATGTATCGGGCGATTTTTTTTTTTTTTTTATCAATTTAAAACCATCGGCATATCAGCTACAGCATGAAAATGTTTAGTAATTAACTGCATGAAGGCTGTAAGCTGTATAATGTCTGTTGCATAATCCAGCGTTTTTCTCTAGATAAAATAATAAAATACTTGCTAAAACAAAATTTTAAAAAGCCACTTTTGGACACAAATACCGAATTGAGTTCTCTTTCACTTCTAATTCACACAAAATTATATCAAAATGCCTGTCTTGACGAGTATCCTTGTAAACATACTCGGTTATGTCTTAAATGAATGTAAACAGTTGAGAAATAAAACGCTTGTGTAGCAGTATATTAGATCCGTGCACCTTTTAAAGTGACAGCAGCCCAATATTCCTGCTGTGCTGCTGTCTGTGTTTTAATCATAAAACAAAAGACAAATAAAATCGCTCACTACTATTGACTAAAACACTTTTGTAACTTTAATAAGGACTAATCAATTTTTATAACAAAAGTTAAAATAAGAGAGAAAGTGACAAATGTCAGTATCTGAATCGCCAATAGTTGTTTGTTAAAATCAAATCGGCCAGAAAAAAATGTATTATTGGTGCATCCCTATTAAAAAGTATTATATATTAAAATGATATCATATTAGATTGTATTACAATATGTTCTATTATATTATATTTCTCATTGTAATAGTTATTCTTCCCTTTGGCATCAATAGCACATTAAAAAATGTACAAAGCACATATTTTGTTCAAGAATATTCATGGAGAGAGCTTTGCTACTCTTGCCATTGTTGTAGTTGCATTCTTGTTTTTTTCTTTGACAAGTGGCAATTTTTTTTTCTCTGACAGAATTTTTTCTAAGCTTGGTTGGCAGCATAGCCAGCTTTGTTTGTTGTATTGTATTACAATGGACTTCATAGTGCTCATAGCTTTGCCAATCTTTATTTAGCCTTTTTTTTTGTACATTTACACAAGCAGCTCCTTGTGGTCCTCATGACAAGCGGGATTGATTTGATTGGCTATTTTAGTTACAAAGTCTGTGATATTTATTATACAATAAAGGATCTGAACTGAACACACAAAAATGTTGTAATGTGGACACATGGTGTGCCTTGTTGAAAAACTTATTGTTATAAATTGT